AGCTCTCTCTCTCTCTCTCTCTCTCTCTCTCTCTCTCTCTGAGTCGCCCCTCTCTCTCTCTCTCTCTCTCTCTGCGTCCTCCTCTCTCTCTCTCTCTCTCTCTCTCTCTCTGAGTCGCCCCCTCTCTCTATGTGCGTGCGGGTGTGTAGGCGTGATCGTCTGCGTGTGGCACGCAGACGCGGCGTGGCGTGGCATGGTATGGCATGGCGGACCGCCGGCGTGCCAACCGTCTAGCATGACGCGCCCAAGGTCGTGAGAACGAGGCGGCATTTTCGCCCCCCCCCCCACACACACCACCACGCACGCAGACGCGCGTGGCTGCGCGCGAAAGACAAGGATGCTGCTGCTGCCGCTACTGCAGCAGACGAAATACTACCGAGTCATGCCAACGTTGCAACAAACTACTACGTACTTTTCTCGTCGATGTCGAAATCTCGTGAGAGAAAAAAAATCGCGATGACAATGACGCGCCGTATTTTTGCACCGTCACAATCACTATCAGCGCCTGCCGTTTTACGGCCGCACGCACGCACGCACGCACACCACCAGACGTCTAGACAGCCCGTGGTGGTAAGGTCACCAACAGCACTCGTACGTACCGCCTGGTACTGCATGTGCCAGCGTGAGAGAGGGAGAGGGAGATAGAGAGAGGAGAGGGACCGCCCCTACGCGCGCGACCGTACACACAAAGGGGAGAGACAGATCGCAAGCAGATGGCTGGTGAGAGAGACAGAGAGAGCGAGATAGCGGGCGGTGATAGAGGCAGGCAGTTGCAGCAGCAGCAGCAGCAGTAGATAGCAAGCAGTCACTGACCGACCAATGACGCCCAGGCAGCGGCAGCAGCGGAGAGGGAAAGAATTAATTGTCACACCCCCACGGCCTCACCATCCTCCCACGAGTCCCTCCGCACGCGGGCGTGTAGAAAAACTGCGAGCGCATATATATATTATATATATGGGACATAGAACTCTAGCCGCGGCCAACAACCCTAGGATCATGAGAGCGCGAGAAAGACACGCACAGGCACGGAGAGAACCAGTCCTTCCTCTGCCAAGCCAACCAGTCGGGCAGGTTTCGCGAGGTGTGCTGGTCATTGGCTCACAACTGGAATGCTACACTGGTCGTTGGCACAGAGAGAGAGAGAGAGAAAGAGAGAGAGAGAGCGCGCGCGCGCGAAAGCGAGCGAGAGAGAGAGAGAGAGAGAGAGAGAGAGAGAGGGAGCAAGGGAGCGAGGGAGCGAGAGAGCGAGAGAGTATGTGTGTGTGTGTGTGACTGTGTGTGTGTGTGTGTGTGTCTGTGTGTAAGAGAGGGAGGGGGAGGGGGAGACTAGCTGCCTGCACGTATCAGACAAGACGCCATACAGAGGTCCACTTTGACTCACAATGTTCAGTCACAATGACCCATTCAGCTGCACACGAATAGGGCTGAACAATACTGTCTGGAAGCAAGCAAGCAAAAAGAGCGAGAGAGAGAGAGAGGAGCGTGAGTAAAGGGAGCGGGGAGAGAGAGAGAGAGAGAGAGAGAGAGGGAGCGTGAGTAAAGGGAGCGGG